GAATATGAGCATGTCTCTAATACTTTGAATAACTTATACAAAACTGTTCTTGATGCTATATTGAAGTTGTATAAGGGTAAGATTTTAATAAGGCATTCGCTTCTCAGATAAAGATCGCGAAAAATTGTGGACTTACTTTCGAGATGCAGCGGATAATTTAGTTGAGATTCAAAGAGTAGTTAAGAAAAAAACTGCCCGCCTTTATTCAGCTGGCTTCATTGGGGGCTCCTTAACATTTTCAAAGGATTTCTCTATGTTTGTTAGCAGCAGCACCAGAGACATTAATTCATGTAAAGTACGTCATCAAACTCTCTTCCTTTGGTACTTCGTCGGAGTATATTACTTTGTTATTTGACTGGAATTCTATTCTAGTTGCCTATACTTTTGCCTTATTTTCAAGACTACTGCATCACAGTATAGCTAAAACAGTCGATTTTTTTTATTGTTACAGTATGTCCCATTTGACCTACTCAAAGAGTATCTATGTCGTTCTAGCGACCCTAAAAAAGAGCTCATTCACTCCAGGATTATCTTGAATTGTCGATTTAAAAAACGCATAAGTGACTCCGCAAATCTTCACCCGGCGAAACTTCATGATAAAAATCGGTCATCGGCAAACCAACTTGGTCTTCCTGCCATGAATTCTGACGGGGTCTTCTCGCCTTTCTTGACTATTTCTCAAGACAAACATTTGAACCATATTACTAGTTGTGCCGGATTTGATATGTCCCTTGGGACAGCATCTTGTCACTGCAAAAGGAAAAGTACTTACAATCACAATAGTGATGCAGATGAGCTTTCTTCCAATGGTCAATCGATTTGTTCTAATTTCAGCAACATGGGCCCTTCCATCACCTGGTCTAGTAGCTCATCCTCTGATGAGGGTAGCTGCGATGACCCTAATGATGATTTCGACATAGCCCCTGCCCCAGCTAAGCGTGTTCGTACATCTCGGGCTTCGCACACATAGTGGTTTTTCTCTATGTAAACTATTGTCCATCTATTTAATCACTTATACCGTGTCTTCACATTTATTTCCCGCAAGCGTTCTTCCATCTTGAATGATTGTTACATCCAATAATCTTTCTACAGCAGTATTTATTTTGACAATCTATTCATGCTTGCCAGTATTTGATAAATTAGCTATGGAGTTAATTGCATATATCAAGACGTGAAGGGGCTTAAATTTGAAAGCATTTTATCTTGGTCAGTATTTTGTATTTTCTTTGCCATTATGATCCGAATACCTAATGACCATATTTTCCACCTATAAACACTTCTCATTTGTGCTGTGTACAATGGATACTGGTTCCTATTTTGATCTATCTGAGCTTTTGGTCTTTGGTTAGAATTGAGTGAATTTTGCTTCGTTATTGTATATAACATACACTCGCGCTTATTGAAATTTTTATATCACTGTCAAGAAGGCTCAGCATCTTACCATAAGCAGAGCCTCTTCCGATCTTGTTCGGTCTATTTGGTCTCTTGCCTATTCTCTAACTGTAGTGCCATATTCCTGATAAAATCATACAGAACCTGAAGTACAATGTCTTTTATATTTTGATTAAATGTTTGACTCTAAAGAATGGCTGAGTGGTTGAAGCCCTAGTGCTGATATCGAGTCAAAATCCCAACTACATAGTAAATCGCGTTTAAAATAGTCCAATCGTCTCATGTTCTTTATAATCGTTTGCAGGCCTTAACATATTGTGATGTTGTTTATCCTCTATTTAACAAAATGACAAGACAATTTCTCTACATTTTGTTTGCCAGATTGGTTGATGTGATTGTGTATACAGTAATTCCACGCTTGCATCTGGCAAATATTTCTTCGTAGCTCTCGGATCGTCATCGAACTTACTAGTCTGTTTAAAGTCTCATCAGGTTTTGGAATCTACTACGATTAACATCGAACACTTCTTGCTCAAAGATGCCTGTTCCTTCGAACTAAAAATGACCCACTTTGCTGAATTATTTTACTCGATCTATATTTTAGCTTTTGGCTGAGTCGAGGTCGCTCGACAATTTAGTTGACTTTATTGTACTTTCATAGAATGATCATATGCATTATGCTTATCCAGTTCACTACGTG